GAGGGATTCAAACACTAAAAATTTATTAAATTCGAACGGCATTGAAATACAAATTTCTTACGGGAAATGCCGATAAAGCGACATTTGCATATATAAATAAGTAGCAGGTGGGTTGGGGTGGGGGGGATTCATCGCTTTTTACATATATGTAGCAACTATACCTAGGGGGGAATGTCAATAAGTGGCATTTCCATAGAAACATAGACTAGATTAGTAGTGCATGACGGGCCAAGGACTAGGTGCGGTGGGTGCGGGACTTGTAGGGGACAAGAGCGGCCTCATAGACATTGCCACGATCCCTGGTAGCATGGTAGCGCAGAATCGGGCTAGAACGCATGCATCCCATGTCGTCTAGGTGCGATTGTTATGGTCGGGCGCGGCTTGGCCAGCGGAGGGATGATCCTAGAAGGCATGCTCCATCTCCACGGTCATTGCTCGTGCTGCCGCCACCACATTGTAGTCGGCAAAGATGGTGCGCTCCCTCTCTGCCACCAATGCCCGTCCTACCACGGTCTCCTCGAAGACTACTCTGGCACGGGCGGCGTGGCAGGCATCCCAAGCCTCCCAAGCAGTGAGGGAGCGTGCGAAATCGGCCGTGGCCAGGCATCAGCGTGGTGTCAGGAGGCTTTTGACGCTGCCGTGTTGCGGGACTCGTCGAGGACAGACTGGAGGAGGGGATCCTCTACTTTGGATTGTCCTTGGAGTCGGCGTCCTCCAGCGCGTACCAGTGATCCCACTACTACTCCTTGATGCCGTCGGTCTCCTGCGTGACCTTCTCGCCCAACTGCCTTGCTTCTTCCGCCGTGAGCTCGACCCAGTCTGACCTTGGTGAAGTAACACGGTATCCTCCAAGACTATGCCGGGACGGGCGGCGTCTTGGAATTAGGCGGCATGGCGGGCATCCCAAGCCTCCGTAGCAGTGAGGGAGCGGTGGGAAATCAGACGTGGCCGGTCGTCAAGCAGCCTTTGATGCAGTCATGTTGCGGGGCTCGTTAACGACGGACTGGAGGAGGGGATCCTCGACCTCGAGTCGTCCTCGGAGTCGGCATGTTCCAGCGTGTACCAACAGTCCCATTACTCCTCCTTGATGCAGTCGACCTCCTTGACCATTGCCTTGCCTCATGCGCTGTGGGCTCGACCCAGTCTGTTCTTGGGTGATGTGACATGGTGAGAACAAGAAGTGGAGTAGTCAGAGAAGGAAGGGGAGAATGTGGAGAGGGGAGTGAATAAGGAGAGGAGGTGCCGGCCTCTTAATAGCTGCAGGGCCTGGCGGGAATGGGTGGGGGCAGGTGGACACGTGGTGTCAGGCCATTAAATGGCTCATTTCCTGGTGATGTAAGTGGCCGGGGGATTGTACAGAGAAAAGAGAATGAGGCCGCGGGCGGATGACGAGAGAGGTGAAACTTCCCGCGCGGGCGGTTAGGTTTGGATCGCGCTCCAAAACATCCCCCTCCACATATGGAGGATATGATCTTTTTGCCAATCCAGATCCATAGGGCGACTCTGATAGAGTGGTTTTGTCTGGTATTTTCGTCATAGAAGCGGTTATTTCGCCGATCAGCTCCTTTTGGCGATTCTGCTAGAGTTGCTCTAAGGTCAGGTATTGTTTGAATCATTAGAAATTTAAGTGTGAACCTCAGTGGCAGATTTTCTTCCTCGGGGTTATGTGTTTTGGTAGCTGTGAACAACTAGCTATTCCTAGTTACTAGAACAAATGATCTGGAGCTAATTATACTCTAGGTTCTCATATCTATTATTGTGTGGTTGCCTGATGGGCAGGACCATTTCTTCTCTTTTTGTTGTCAAAACAAAGTGAACTGACAATCCCTGTAACAAATATTGCAGACAAACCATCGTATCACTACAAGGATACAAAGACGCATTTACGGGCATGCTACTAATGTGGCTATCAGACCTTTAGATGAGGAGAAGGCAGTACAAGCTGCTACAGATCTCATTGGAGAAGGCTTCATCTTTTCGGTATTTTCTCAACCATTGATTAACTTTATGTACCTTGCTGTAATACAAGCAATTGAAATTTGACCAAACAATAATAGCCTTATGGTATGTTTTTTATTGTAGGTTGCTGTCGCCGCTTTAATTTTCGAGGTGCAAAGAAGTGCTAGGTCAGAGGCTAGAAAGGAGGAAGCTCGTAAACAGGAACTTGAGGTTGCACTGTAATATTATTTCACTCTATTATATTATTTCTCTATATTGTCTTACTTTGAGATCTTTGCTTAGTTCTCTGGAATGAGGTAAATGGACTATGCTAACATGTCCATGCATGCCACATTCGCTATTCAATCCTATAACGGTTCTTGAGAAACACTGCACACCAGAAAATGGTATCTATAAGACCCTATTGTGTAGCCATCGGACAGACTCAGTGCTAGTAGCTCCCACACCAGGTGGGGTCTGGGGAAAGGATTATACGAGGCAAGCCATAGAAATAAAAGAAGTTATACTTAAATTCTTAAGATAAAGCTCTTTCCGTTGCACATTTTGTGTTAAGAAAGTTTATTAAATGCACAATTTGATACATTCAGAGATATTAGGAATTTAGGGTGTCTCTAGTGTCTTAAGAACACAGGATTTTAATGGGGATATTTTTGAACTAAATCTCAAGCAACCCCCCTCATCCAAACATCCTGATTTAGTGACTACCAGGAACTGATCATATGATCATTCCTATAATTTATTATATCAGGTGATAGTTCGTACATGCTATATATCACTATCAGGTCAAAATTGATACATGGAATGGACATGCGGATAATAATTTAATATGCTACTAGAAGATCTTATTCAACCATCTGGCCACCATCTTGAGTGCCTCTCTTCTGAAAACAAGTGGAGGCATGTAAATACCTGGGAGGCTAGGAATTAACCCGATAAGCATACTAAGGTACTAATGGCGACGACCACAGGCTTTTGTTTCCATTTCCAACTGCATTGGTCATAGTTGTAGAGAATGGTTAGGGCCTACAATTAATCTTGCAAATCATATTACCTTTATATGGTTGACAAATATATTTTTAATGGGTAGAATATACAAGTTGAAGCATGATGGGGTTGATAAGATAAGTGCAACTATCACATGTTATAGATTTTGCAACTAGTTGTTTAATTGGTATTTGCTAAAATATGGGGGGATAGGAAATTAAATTGCTGAAGCTGCGCAAAACCTGGGCAAATTCAGAATTATGCTGATTAAGAATGAGATTTTTGTAATTTTTATTTGTTTTGTATATTCTTTTAAATCTGATACAGTCAAATAGAATGTATGTATATTGAAATAATAATACCTCCGTCTCAAAATATAAGACGTTTTTGTAAGCTAGTAGTTTAGCCTACAAAAACGTTTTATATTTTGAGACGGAGGTAGTAACATTTTGGGTAATCGACAGTACATTAGTTTATTAAATTGATCCCTTGTGGCAAGTTAGTTGTGCACACAGGTTTCGATCAGAACACATGTGTTCAATTGCTTTCCTTCCCAGTTTATAATGTTTTTCACTCAACATAATTGTATACATAAGCTTTGATCAGACCATTTAGCTTAATGTTTTTCACTGATCAACAGGAACTGAGACAAAAGGAAGAGATTCTAGCTAAAGATTTAGAAGATCTCAAGGTGAAGCTGGCTGAACTTGAGCGCCTCGCCAAAGGCCGGGGCCTTTCTGGAATATTGAACTTCAAAGGTGTCAATGCAGCAGATAGCAGCAAGGAAGCAACACCTGCTTGATTTATCGATTCAACTTTCGTCAGGAGAAAGGGGAATGTTGTGTTGTGGAGTTTATGCACAAAGCACCTCGAAATTAGCTAATTGGTTTCTTCTGTCGCAGTTCTTTGATACTGTAGCCATGCCCATTCTTTGGGTGAATGGATCAAATTTTATGGTGGTTGATCCATTAGACATCCTGATGAAATAATAGTGTGATTGTGTGAGGAAAAAGCCCTGTTACTTCTGGGTAAGTGACCACCGAACAAGATATAAAGATGAATGTATTCTTACTTTGGGCCTTTTTTGGCTCGCTAACACATAAGTGAGAAGTGCGATTGTGCTGTGGGCTCCCAACAGATTATTATCCAAAATTTCTCCTCAACCATGTAGTATGTCGGTGATCCATTGTGAGAGACTGATAGCAAGTCAGAATGAAACGGTTTGTTTCACCTGATTCTATTTTTTGTTATTGAACACATATGCGAGCTGTGTATTTGTAAACGATTAATCATAATGTTGTGCTGTACAATTGAAGATGGCCTCTCCATTTTTCTGAAGAAGACATGTACAACTGATGTCATGTTCTTTTCTGATGATGCATTCTGGAAGGATTGCTGTTCAGGTACAAGATGTACACATCAGTGCTTTCTTATTTTCTTAGTTTAGTGGATCACACATGTCTCATCTTGCAGTGTTTCCTTGAATAAAAGTGCATTTTTGTATTGCATAGAAACTGAAGACACGTGGTGCATGAGTTACTCCATGCACGCGTCACGTGACATAATTGCCTGGTCTGAGAAATGAAACTACTACGTGTACTGATTATATGTGTACGATGTATCAGTAGAAGTTTCCATGGGCCTATCTATTTGTTCGGTGAAATCTTCCTGTGAGCAACCTACAAAACCGTAAACCCTACTTCCACCTTACCATCTTTGGGAGCGCATATATACGCGTACAATCGTACACACGCATCTCTCTCCTCTCTGCACTGTAGACAGCGCCGGGCGACATGACCGGCGGCGTGAACGGCAACGGCGGAGGAGGAGGCGGCAACGGCGGGGCGTGCGCGGTGTGCAAGCACCAGCGGCGCAAGTGCGAGCCCAACTGCGAGCTGGCCGCCTACTTCCCGGCCAACAGGATGAACGACTTCCGCGCGCTGCACCTCGTCTTCGGGGTGGCCAACCTCACCAAGCTCATCAAGGCCAACGCCACCGAGGCGGCGCGGCGGCGCGCCGCCGAGACGCTGACGTGGGAGGCGCGGTGGCGCGAGCGCGACCCCTCCGAGGGGTGCTACCGCGAGGTCTCCTGCCTCCGCCGCGAGAACGCTGTGCTGCGCGCCGAGAACGCCGCGCTCAGGCGCCGGGCCAACCAGTGCGCGTGCTGCGCCACCACGTTGCAGCAGCAGCAGCAGCAGCAGATACTGCTCGTCTCGGCTTACAACAACGGCGCCCGGCCCCCCGGCGGCGTGCTGCACGGCGCCAGCGCCGGGGTCGTGCCCGGCGGCTTCTACAGCGGCAATGCCGGCGCCGTCCGTGCCGCCAATGGCAACGGGGCGATGCCCGCGCGGCCTCACGTGTCAGCTCCGGCGCCGCAGACGACGATGGCCGGGTACGCGCAGGGGGATCGCCACCACGCCGCGTCCGGCGGAGCGAACGGCACCGGCGCAGCTGGTCAGGCGGAGCCCAGGGAGAAGAGCAGCGCGAGGTAAGTTGAGGACGCTTCTCATTAATTCTTCCGTTGAGGTGGAGGTTTGCATTGCATGGTGGATATATATGGGCTTCTTCTACGCGTCGTGTTTTGTAAATGCAGGTGTGACGCTCAGCGCACAGCTAGCTAGCAGTGGGCAGTGAGAGAAGATGAAGGCCCCAAACCCTAGGCTGACTACAGAAATTCAACTGTTTCCTATGAAATTCATGTCCTAAGTAGGAACAAGCCCTAAGTATTGGTTTTGGAATAAAAAGTAGGTTTACTTCATCTTTTTTTTTGTGTGTGTGTTTCTCTTCTGCTTGAGCAGGATATCTAAAGTTCAAAGTGTAAAAACTCAGCTTTGTATAACTGGTGATTCATTTAATTAGAAGCCAGAAGATGATACATGCATTTTAGAGATTATTTCAAGCTATGCTTGTTGATTTAAGCAGCTGGTCATCCTGCTGCAAATCTAGAACCTCAGTTGCATTCAGTATTACCCATTCAGGAAAAGCACATGAACTGGAGTAGTACGCCTCACAAGTCACAAATATAGGGATTAAAAACACAGGAACAGTTAGAGTAGCTTGGAGGGACAGAAGGAGAAGCGTTGCTTTGATGTATTGCTACTCGATGAAATCACTAAGATCATCTAAACTCGTGAGTACAGGCCCTGGTGGAACTCATAAAGATTTCTCGCTAAGTGTGACCGAGGGAAGACTAATGATTACACAAATTCTATGTTGCCACAAACTGGAGATGACTCACAATAGAAAAGCGCTCAGACCGGTTGGATCAAACTCAGAGTGCATGACAAGGGTCATGGTTCATTCAAATCAACAATGACACAAATAAATGTGTCCGGTATTTTCTCAAGTAGTATCAAATATCAGCATGCGGATGGTGATGCATGTTATATTCGATATTTCTAATAGGAACAAAATATTAGGATTCCTTGTGCTACAACCTCAAAAAGAAACTGAAAATTCTACGCTGAAGCCATATAACTCAGATGTTCACCAAAACCAAGCGGGATACTGCGGGAACAGCCATACGGATTTAACGAGTCTCATCGGGTACTGCTGCTTCACCCTCTCTTACCAAACCAGCATCACCATTGCTAATCAAGAGGAACCAAGATAAATATATCAGTCAATTCGTATGAGCATGACATTATAACCAGCAAGATTGCAACAAAACATCACAGTAGGTTTAAGATAGGAGACCTCACCTTGACTGACCAGAGCCCTGCAGTGAGGGTGAGTCAACTTGCATTGTTACAGGGCCATCATTTACCAATGAAACCTGCAAAAGTTCCCAATTGACATGCATTCTGGAAAATGTAATGTAAGACAAGTCAGTTATAGCATCTGTTACTGGGGGGCACCTTCATCATTGCTCCAAAAATGCCATCTGCCAAGAAGAGATGAAGTAGGGACAATTGTTAGGAATAGGTTCAATGCGACATTGACGTCTAGCAGGGATCCTTCAAATGTACAGGAACAGATAGCAAAAAACAGAAATAGCAGCTCAATACTGTATTATGTGAAAATCATATAATTCATAAACTGACATACTCATGGCAAGGCATCAGGGGAGTACAAATCTGAACAAGCAGAATTGAGTTTTTGCTTTATAATGAAACAATCGGACAGTCCGTGCAGGAACAATGAGAAATATGAGAAAGCATCCATACATCGGTTACCATGAGAAAACCTCAATACGAATACAGGTGAACTTATGTAAAGAAGATCGATTTGATAATGAAGCACCCAAGATGGCCAACTTCAATAATGTATTATGCAATATTAGAAGCATCAACATATTACCTTTAACTGAATCAGTTTTGTACGACTTTTGAAACTTCTCAACCAAAGAAGCGTAGAAAGGTTTTGCTTTCGCAGGTGGCATAGCCACATGGAAATCTGGCTTGTTACCCTTCAGGATTCCATATAAGGTAAATTGACTCACTGAATAGGATAACATCTTAGAAAAAGAATAATTGACAACATCAATTGTTAAAGGTTACGCCATTACAGAATCGGAAGTAGAGATGGCAAGTTGCATTGTATTACCTAACAGGACTTCAAAGTTCTGCTGCATAACCTGAAGAAAGTGAAACGTAAAATAAAGTTCAGGAGGTAATCAACATGCTGAATGCTCTCCTATGCATAATTGCTTATAGATGACTCTGAGGCTTACGCTCTGATCCCATGCTTTTCCAGTCTTCTCATTAGTAAACAGCCTCGTATTCAGGACCTTCCGACAGCTACGGAAATAGAGTGTTAGCATAAATCGGACACCATCACAGTGAGATATATTTACTGGACATTTCAGTATAAACAAATTTTCTGTTGTCAGAAAATTAACGGTGACAAGTGAGTCATTGGTGCATGAATTGCACATAAGTTAAGCAAAACTTTCCAAATTACAGAGTGTCACAACAGAATCCTTCAAGCACCAGAATACAGCACCACGTCTAGTTACTAGCACTATTTATTGATACGCTAACGATTGTCGTCTTAATCACTCAATCCACCAAAAGGAGTGATCAATTACACATCATTCACCCAGATTCCGGTGGAAAACCTCCCTGCGAGAGGGGGCGGGTGCCGAGGATTAGGAGGGAGAGAGGTCAGAGGTGGGTTCATTACATATACTCGGCGTCGGAGCTGGTGTCAGCCTCATGAACGCCGACGAGGACGAGGAGGCCCGGGCCGATCGCCGACACCACTTGCCCTTCCACCTGCGACCCCCGCAAAGACCAATCAGCGCCCATCTCTCCCAATGATTCCGTGCAGGATACAGCGGATGTGGCGAACTGAAGGGGAAGCGATCACCTCGACGCTGGCCGAGAGGACGCGCTGCACCACGGCCCTCATCTCCTTCCTTCTGGCCTCCGCCGCGGCGAGGCTCCGAGCTTCCTGCGAGTGGGCGGGTCGCCGGAGACGGCAGTCGGCGACTGGTGGGCGGGTGGGCGGAGTGAGCAGCGGAAGCAGCGGAGGCCTCAGCGAGGGTCGACGGGCCGGTAAAAATGCCCATGATTTATTGGGTCTAACAGGCCGGACTTTGTCAGGAGGACTGGGCTTTGCCAGGATTTGCACTCTTGACATTTTTTTCCTGTTAGAGCTTGACTTTTTTTGCCACTTATTAGAGCTTGACTTAAAATATATTGAATTGTATTGTTTACTTTTTCGAAAAGAGGCGCTTTATTACTTAAAAGATTTAAGCATTACACCCGGGCTCTGCATAACTAAGATGCACACAGCCAAATAGGACCCTCTCACACAAAATAAAAATAAAAAGGCGAATTATAACAAAACATGTAGAGTCCATATAACGCCTAAAAACGGAGGAGGACCAATCCTTAGATCATGCTGCCACCCATGTTGTATTGTTTACTAGTGTTTTGACAACATGTAAAAGACACAGTATCATCACCAAATTTATCTCACTGTCATGAAATTTACATGGGAAACAGCACTAATTCCATTAACATACATGAGTCTGGGTATATATACGTACAGATGGTTTGGTAATCTTACATCTTTACACCTGATTTGTCCAAGAAATCCATCTTACAACATGCTCACTCACCTAGCTACGAGTGCAGAGGCGCACAGCACACTGCTGTCGTCACATTCTACAACCACCTCTAAATTCCTTATTCTTCACCCATATGAACAACAAGCACAGAGAAAATCTTTACCAATTGCTGATCTTGCATCTATTGATTTATGAAGTCCGAGTAGTATTTTCTGCTTCCACGGCAACATCCTGCACATTGCCATCTTCCGTTGCCGGATGGACATCCATCGGCTTACCCTCGATTGTAACAGGCCCTTCATTCACCACCACCTCACGTCCATAAGCATCGGCCTGCCCCGGGACATCCGACGTTTTGTCGTCCTGTCTCTTCATGGAGATCTTCCTGCTCAGTGTGCTTGTCAGTGATCTACCCGGCTCCCCTGCGTTCTTCTCCACCACCTTCGCCATGTCTTCTGTCAAGCTTCCCGCGTCTCCTCCTTTGCTTGCATCGTCGCTGACGACAATCTTTATCGATGTCCGCTTCTCGCCAAGCTCCTTCAGGTTGGGACGTGGGGTTCGGGGGAGCCTTGGATCAAGATCCGGCGAACCTTGACGCGGGGTCCGTGGGAGGTTCGGATCAAGCTCTGGTGCACTCTGAGGACCAGGACTTGTGGGGATGATAGGATCAAGATCGCGAGACTTCTTCGAGTTCCTCCGGAAAAATGAGCCCATATTGAACATACCGCCATGACCACTCTTTGGGGTAGGAGCAGGAGGGGCTTCCTTTGATATGTCAACCTCTTGGAGGATCTCCGTGTCTGGATTGCGCGCCCGCCCTTTCCGGGATTCCCATGTCTGGGGAACACCAGTTCCAGGGCGATGTACATATACACCTCCAGGTTGTTCTTGTCCATCAAAGTCAATGTGCTCAACTTCATCCATTATGACTTTCCTTTCTTCAAGCAGCTTAGCAGCATCCGACTTGCTATCAGCAGAGGTGGGCAGTGGCAGTTTCACATCAGTTTTCGCCGGTGATTCTTCCAAACTCGTTGTTGCCTCCGTCTCCTTCAAAAACATTTGGGATAGAGTTATTCTACAATAATCTAGTGTTACCATTCATTGAGGTGCTACCTTGCTACCATCGTCAGATGACCACCAAAAAGGTCTTAAAAACTATAGCCTAAAAGTTAAGAATGTTATCACCAACCTCTGATACATCTTCAATCGTTATAGCCAGGTGGATCCTTCCTTTCTTGACATTCTTCAGCGATATCCATTTGTCATGTCTTTGTCCACCTCTCAGTTCATTTACGTCTACCGTACATTCTCTGTAAACAAATTGGAATTCATCATGTATTTATTTTTCTTTCAGTAAAGGACCAAATACATCTGTTCAGTAAGAAACAGCAAACAAGGGCCAATTTTCAAGCCGAGATAAAACAAATGCCAGAAGTCATCTTTTAGGGACCACAGCAGAATCACAACACTGCTCATCGCAAATATTTTTTTCGAGAAAACGCAAGAAGCTTTGCATATCGATGCATTGATAGAAGAAAAGGTTATGTACATGTTCATTGCAAATATAGTTCTACAGAAAATTAAGGATCAAGTGTCCAAAGATTGGCATTTACAGATTTGCTAATTGCTCCATGTCTCAAATACAAGACAATACATATGTTATCCTATGGATCTCCTGGTTAGAGTTTCATATAGCAAGATGAGTTCAGAAAAAAGAACATACCCAAGCGAGTCATCAAACATGTGGTCCTTATCACGAACTTCCATAACAAGTTCATTTGATGCTTCCCACGACGTGATGGGTATCTTGAATTCCTCAAACCACTTAGGAGATAATGTTTTCCTCTGTATTTGAGTTTGGAATTTAAAAGGACCAATACGACCTCTGACATAAGGGTCCGACAGCCCTATAAAATAGAACATGAAATGTTTGAAACAAATGATGAGTAATGCAAACATTTCGACAAAGGCAGCCACAGCCGCAGGTGATTCTCACCGTTTATATCAGCTGGTTTCATGTCAAGCCCTTCCAAAATCTCAAGTTTCACATATGCAACAGGAGGTCTCTCCTCAATGTTGAACCAGTTATTTTCTGCAGAATATTAGATATTAATGGAAAGCAAGTAGATAACACAGCAGAAAAGGGTTAGAAGATTTATCATCACAAAAAGTATTAGAATGAGAAGTATCATTCTTCCAAAAATTAGGACAAAGTACAGATGTTATTTAACTTTAAGCACAATCACATTAGTTTTACTTGTGCCAGCACACTCAACTAAATAAAACGAGTGAAAAAATGTTGGTTCATATTGACCCTACACCATAGGGCGGGCCTGGCGCAGTGGTAGAGTCTCTCCACTTGTGGTCTGGAGGTCCTGGGTTAGAACCAACCTCCTTGCAGAAACTCCCATCCCCAGACCCCACCTTGTGTGGGAGCTTTCAGCACTGGGTTCGCCCTTTATTGACTCTACACCCTATCTGAACTGCTTGATACTACTAGTATTTAGTGAAGTGATATTTCTGAAACTGTAATATTTAGACCAGCAGGAAGAAAGGATAATTTCTGAAACACAAGCATGAAACGGAAGGTTACTTCTTACCAGAAGGAGTAGATGAGAACTTTTCCATGTTGATGACAAGCATATTGGGCTGGAAAAGGAAAAGATGCATCAACAGTTAAAATATCATAATTAAAAGTAAGATCGGTATTTCTGAATGGGGCAGAGTGATCTAACCTCAACTAATGTCTGCCCAAATGCAGTATCCATCAACTTATCCTGGACAAAGAAATACGGGAGACCAAGTGATCACTAAGAAACATATTCAACAATGTTACCAAAAGTTCTAGAAAAAGGAAAAGTATGACATGTGGGCGGTTACCAGCCATCCTGAAATTCCAGGAAACTCAGTGACATCAAGTCCGTGACCAACGAGTGGTTTTACCGTCATTTGAAAATAAGGAGGCTCCACAAAGCATAGTCTTAAGCGGCCAAGAAATGGCCAACTCCGAACAAACTTCACACCAAGTAAAACCTGCAGTGAACATATTTTTGTCCTGAGAACAAGGAAAGGACAAGGGGAACAAACTGATTGGTGTCTCTAATGAATGATAATTTACTGCAATTCCGATTGAAACCTTTTCTTCTCTTCTGTTTACTCCAGAAGGATTTTGCATATCTTTTACAACTACATCAGTACACTTTTAACAGTTGAGGATCTCTTCTTGTTTTCCCTTTTTTTAAGAAGATACATGTAGGCCACTGCTGGTTCCAAAGTTGTCGTTGGCTTCGTTAGGATTATATCAGTACTAGCAATCTACCTACAGATGCAAGAATAATATTTGTTTCCATTCACTCTACAGGGCAGCCACTGAGCAAACTAGCCTCCACCATGGTGAGAAATGGCCATTCCATTCCTCCACTGAGCAAAGTAAATCTATGTGTAGTGTCTATTTGGAGTAAGGATAAACAGGCAGCCTTAACCAATTTTGAGCAAGAGGTATAATAAAAAAATGTGTTATTTTTAAGGAGCAAAAGAACTCTGCTATACATGTGTATTTGCTTGTCTTGTACATTTTCTCCATATAATATCCGGAGAACCAAGTTGCCAATCGCTTGATTAGTGATAGAATGATGGTGCTAACTAGGAGACTTGCCTTTCCTTCGACATGCATCCTAGTCAAATGCATGTTTGCGGTCATTCCAAGTCCCACACTCTTATGCAGCTGCATGGCAAGCACAACACTC